ATTCAATTAATTAAGGTTTTTAGTTTAAATAAAAAAGTCAGGGTCACGAGCGGGATTCGAACCCACGACCTTTGCCTTGATACACCGCTACCCTACCACTTGAGCTATCGTGACTTCGATCCACTCGGGCACTAACTTCCCATCTCAACCCCACCTTTGGCGTATCAAGCCGAAGGTCGTGGGTTCGAATCCCGCTCATGACACTGACTTTTTTATCTCAACTAAAAACATTAATTAATTGTATGTAAATAACCGCAAATTACAAGATGTATTAATACAGGCTGTAAGAAAAATAAAGGGGAAAAATATCATATTTATAAGTTATACGTATATGTATAAATCGTAGATTTTTATTTACTAATTTTTTTAATGTGTTGTTTTTATTAATTATGATGACAACGGCAGGGTTGTCTTGTTACAGTTACTGATTTGTATGAGATCAGTTAGAAAGGAAACACTCATCTCCGTCGTCGAGCTTAAAGTAATATATCCCCTTCATCAGGGCTTTGAAACTGTTATTAATAATTAACATGGTTAACAACTAGGATCCTCTATTGACATTGTTACTCTCATGGTTTCAAGTAAAATGATATTACGAAATACATCTTACAGTGAACGAGATCAAATTCCCTTCCATTTTTTATCAGAGATGCTGTGACCCACGAAATTGATCAAATGTTTGCAGTACTGTCAAAAATTTGTCCTAATCCGATATGCTGTTAGTCAATACGTATTTATTGCTTGTCGGATAAATTCGTTTAGCCTTTTATTATAATCCTCAAACTCTCTCCTACCTGCACTGTACAATTATTATTATATTCAGTCTTTTTTGTAAGTCTCACAAAACCACTTGATCGATTTACCAACAGTTACCAATTAACATGTAGTGATTAGTGACCGTTTGTCGATGATTATTCGGAAATCGTGAGATGCGGTCTGCTGTGACGTAGGTTTCAGAAAAACATTTTTTTTATCGTGCTAACTTTTCGAACTTTTTTGAGATCATTTTCAGGGCTCAAAGTGTTTGTTTTTCGAATGGTTGTAGGTTCAGATGGGAAGTTAGTGTCCGAGCGGATTGAAGTCACGATAACTCAAGTGGTAGGTTAGCGGCGTATTTAGCCGAAGGTCGTGGGTTCGAATCCTGCTCGTGACACTGACTTTTTATCTCAACCAATACCTTATATAAATATTAATTAACTGAAATAAGTTATTTGGCCAATCGGACCACGAAATCTAATGGATTAGTAACAATTGAAAATTCCTGCAACGCCAAAATCAGTAAGAAATGACTTTAGTTTTTCTTGATATTGAAATTAGAATGAAATACAACGTTTGAATTGCAATGATTTTACAGTGAAGCCGATATAGGAAAACATTCGGAAACAAATTCTGGATGAGCTTGCAAGAGGAGCATCCCATCGTTCTTTGAGTAACAAATACGGATGCTCAGTAGGGACTATTAGTAGCATTCAAAAATTGAATGGAACCCATATGAGAGGGATTGAAAAGAATAAAGCACGTCTTAAGCCAAAACTTGTCAGGTGCCTTCAACCTCTGTATTATGTTTCAATTCGTTCGGGCGAAATTGATAACCCCGTTCAAATAAAACGGAATCTTAGGCGGATAATACTGACATCAGTGCTGAAGGAGTTCGCTGTGTCTTCGGGGAAGCTTGCTTGCGAAGAAGGGCAAAAGTTAAAAAACCTCTATTACTAGATAGGCATAAAAACTAAGATTAACCTTCCTCAAAAAATTTGCCAACGACACAGAAAATGACTGGTAAAATATTGTACATTCTGACGAAAATAGAATTAATAGATTTGGGTCAGATGGCAAAGAATGGATGTGGAAAGGGCGAAATGAATAATTAAGGGCTAGACATGTTAAATCAACCATTAAATTTGGGGGTGGGAAGTATGGGGATGCTTCATGACAAAATGGGTTCATTGAGAAAATAGAAGGGAGAATGTCTGCAGTCGACTATGCCGAGATTTTAAATCGTACTTGATAAGAAACCTTAGAAAACTCAATAAACACCAAAATATGACGAAATTGGTTTAATTTGTTAGAATGGCACGAGAATCTATAGTTTTAAAACCTACAGAGAATCTCTTTGCCCAGCTGAAAAGATCTGTCACTGATGCTAATCCTTCATCATGCAACACGCAGCAATTGTGGGAAAATGTTGTGACCAAGTGGAATCAAATCACACCACAAAAATTCGATAAGTTGGTACAAAGTCAAGACGGATCAGACGGGGTTATAACAAACATTAAAAATTAACAACTCGTAAACTCAAAACATTGCTCAAATGTTTAACAGAATAAATTAAATTTCAAATAAAAAAAGTGTTATACATTTTTTGGCGTCTTTGTTAATTCTACTTGTAAATAATATCTTAGAAATAAAACGATAACGTGTAATCTATCGTTAAATATAGACGATTTAATCAATTTCGTAAGTCACTCTATAACCTCCAATTGTTTATCGTATATAGTTCAGCCAATACACCTACCAATTTACTACTAATTAATTTACTGTAATAATGTAAAAAAAAAAATTTATCGCGATAACAACAATAGTACTTTAATTAAATTTCTTCAAGAGGTCCGATGTTGTTGAGCCCGCAGATTGGCTGAATTTTGGTTTGATTGTCTTCACCTTCTCACAGATTTCGCAATCATTCAAAGTCAGTATCAAGAAGAAAAAAATCTTAACAGGGTTATCTTATACAAACCGACCAAGACACCTACTCATTTAACCTGGGAAATCAAATACCCCTCCAAAACTTTATTCATTTATACAGTACTTTATACAGAAAAACCTACCAATTTAAAGTTAATTAACCATCATAATGTCAACAATATTTATAAATTATTGATTGAAATGAAAAAGCTAGTATCACGAGTGGGATTCGAACCCACGACCTTCGGCTAAATACGCCGCTCCACACCAAAAATCCGCTCGAACAACAACTCCACATCTCAACCTACCATTCGAATTTTCCCTCCTTTTGCAACCTCCCTCGAGTGGATCGAAGCCACGATAGCTCAAGTGGTAGAGCAGCGGCGTATTTAGCCGAACGTCGTGGGTTCGAATCCCACTCGTGACACTTACTTTTTCATTTCACCCAATACCTTACATAATGATTAATTAATTGAAAGAGGTTATTTGCTCAATCGGACAACGAAATATAATGCATTTAATTATTATAAATTTATTTATTTACAATTCAACATTCAATAAATAAATACTGATAGAAATAAAGAAGTAACTAACTAACCATTATAAACATGACAATAAATAAATTACACCTAATAGTTAAATAATTAAAAAGTTGATAAAAACTAATTACAGTTAATGAGGCAATCATTTTACCTTACGTTCCTTGCCAGAAAAGAAACCACCATGCGCTTATGCTCTACAGTGCAGCCAAGCCATTTAAACTAAATTTGCCATAATATCTCATTGATGCAAATAGGAACCGAGGAAAGTGCTTAAACTTATAGGAAAAAGTGCACTTTCCAAAGTAGATCTATAATTTATAAGGGCTTCCCAATAAATGTATATAGGTCGCAGTGGAGGAAAGGATTTTTAAAATTCTTTAACAACCCAGCCCAAACCATAATAATGATGTTAATAGCAATAATATATTTACCGGAGATTATAACCGCACTAGGAAACCGCTCAAAAAATGGACTATTCTGTCTATATTTACATATTATATTATTTATATTTGATAGTTATAATTGTGAAAACTCTGATGATAATAATAAGATGAACGAATAAAGTTAATTGATGTTATTTTTATCGCTGTTAATATTGATGATTCTTAGGATATTAAGATTGAAAAATGACACAAATATTTGGACTCAAATGGAGATATTATTTATGTCTTATATCGTACTAATAACGGCAATGATTGTAGTAAATGATCATTACCGTCATGGTGTTAATGATGATAAAATTATAATAATTTTCTTGTAGTATTTCCTCTAAATGGTGTTTTTGATGGAATTATTTTGTTTTGACGTTGCCTCATTCTATTTCTGCGTGTTTCTAAAGTGAATAAATATTAGTGTAATGATAAGATTTCCTATGCAGTTCAGTGGCTGTTGACCGCAATGGATTAGTTGGGTCGTTTTATTTTAGAAGCGTTATTACATTGGTAATAATAACACTGTACTTTTCCGTAATCTGAGTTAAATTTAGCATGCCGAGTTACTTTCTTCGTAAGAAATTAACAGTTAATTTCAAAAGTACCCTTTAACGTAGGCGGTTGTTATCGGTTCGTTAATAGCCATTAATCTCAAATTACTCCCTTATTGCTTTTCGGAGAAAATTTCGCGATAACGCATCCAATCATGGGCATAATTATTCCCTGAAATTAGTGGGTACAGCCATACGGCATCCTATCTCAAAATAATACCGTGAGACTTCGGTGGGTTTTTAGAAAAAAAATTTGTATTTTTTACGCGTGCTGAATATATTTTATCAAGAGGAATAACTGAAAAATCTTGCCAATAGCTTTTCTTCCTACAAATCTGGCATTATTTCGACCCCTCCTGTTTTTCCAATTCAAATTCAAGATCATATTTTGATCATAACATTGTGGTTTTGTTGTTTTTATCTTTTAGTGATTATTATCAAAACCCACTATGAATTCCAATAAGTCTGAACTAAAATTTTTGAAAGTCGTCCTATCTTTTTCAAACAAAAGGGGCAATCGGAGGATAAGGAATAATACGATTGGGTAGATTAAAAAGAAAATCTAGCGAAAGGCGTTTCATCGTTTCCAGTTGAGTCGTGAAAAATGTTCACAGCGTGCAACATGCTTTAATGTTGTTAACCACATCGGAGATTCATGCTGTTAGGAGTCTTATTTGGTTAATAATTTGGTGAGCCATTTAAATATAACTCATTAATTCCAAGCAAATAAGTTTAGACCAATATTACAAATGACTCTTAATTAAGGTTTTAAGTTGAGATAAAAAAGTCAGTGTCACGAGCGGGATTCGAACCCACGACTTTCGGCTTTATACGCCGCAACTCTACTACTTGAGCTATCGTGACTTCCACTCGGGCACTAACTTCCCATCTCCATCCTACCTTTTGAATTTTCCCTCCTTTTTGCCATTTTTCAAATGTCGTGAAATCTATTTGATTCTCGACGACAAAGGAAATGGCCACGGAAAGTGGATCGAAGTGATAGCTCAAGTGGTAGAGTAGCGGCGTATCAAGCCGAAGGTCGTGGGTTCGAATCCCGCTCGTGGCACTGACTTTTTTATCTCAACATAAAACCTTAATTAATTGAATGATATTAATTTGTCAAGCGGACCACGAAAAATAGTGAATTACAAATGACATCGACAATTATATGATTTATTTCCGCTAAACGAACGAATGATGTAAAGTGTGAAAAGTGAGAATTCAATTTGCAAAAAATCCGGCCCAATATATTTTTATGTTGGCATTTTCTTTTAATACGTTCGTCAAATAGTGAAATAACTTCAGAAATTCACAATGAATATTTTCCATCTTTCCGCCTCAATGTGTTCTTTCAAACTCAATTTATTTATTAAGCCGAAACAATTGATGTCAATTATTCATCTTTTAATTTTGAGCCATGTGCCCAAGGGTGGAAGATTGAGCTGTCTAAGCGCATTTATTTCTAAAAATATAAAGGTTGGGATAATCCCTAATTGAAAGGGATAAAAAGATGGCTTATTTTTCCCAGAGTGGAGTATTTAAAAAAAACGAATGATTTTCAAAAAACTGTTTGTTTTTTTGATCGACTACTTAAGTTAATAAAATGAAATAACTATATCCTTACTTATATAGTGTGTATATTAATTAAAAATATTTATAAAATTCAAATTTGGTCAAATATACCAGGTTTAATTTTATTGACAGTTAATAAATTATGAATATTTAAAGTTAAAAAAAATAGTTATTCTGTTTTGTGTGATTAATAAAAACGTTTTTGTTTATTTTCAGGGTGCGCCTGTTCTTGGGATGGGGGTGAGATGAGGACGTCATTTGTCTTAGTGCTCCTGTTGGTGCTGGTGGAATGCGGTTCGGAGGAAGCCTCCTGCCCACAGGACACGCCGGAATGCCCCTGTTACAAATTTGACGACGGCCTGTTTCTCGAATGCCCCAGCGCGACTGAAAAAGCCCTAGAGACGGTCCTCAAGTCCGTGACCTCTCTCATTCAGTCATTCAGTATTTACGACCTCGACAGGGATGTGACGGCTCTGAAGAAGCTTTTCTTCCCCCACGGGACGAGGATAAGACACTTGCAGATATCCCACACCAGCCTCGCGTCGTTAGAAGAGGATTCCCTCTCCGGCGTCAAAACGGAAATGGAATCGCTGAGCATAGTCTCGGGCAAATTAAAGCACATCCCTCAAAAAGCTCTGACGGGATTGAGCGCGTTGAGGGCTTTGGATCTGGAATCGAACGAGATATCCGAGCTTCCCAGTTATTCCTTTTACGGGCTGCATCTCACGAAAATAAACCTGAAGGGTAACAACGTTCAAAAAATGTCCGAATATGCGTTTGCCGGCTTGGAAAATTCCATTACCGAGATCGATCTGTCAGAAAACAAGCTTAACTTCTTCCCCATGGCGTCGCTGAGACGGCTGGAGCATTTGAGATCCTTGCGATTGGCTTGGAACGAAATAAGCAGTATCCCGGACGATGGCTATTCGAAATTACAAAGCCTCGTTTTCTTCGATCTCAGTTCGAACAATTTCGAATCGTTGTCGGAGGACACATTTCGACCGACGCCGAAAGTGAAGACGCTGTCCCTTTATTACAACGCCATCGAGGGCGTCCATAAATTGGCTTTTCTCTCCCTTCACCAGATGGAGTCCATAGACATCAGTCATAATAAAATAGTCTATTTGGACGCAGAAACTTTCCGTGCCAATAAAGAGTTGAGGACTATAGATCTCAGTCACAATCACATCCATTACATAAGTGGAGTGTTTGAAAACCTTCCAGAACTCCGGGAACTCTTCCTCTCTGAAAATAATATATTAGAAATTCCTTTTGACGCCTTTACGAACTCCGTATTGTTGAACGTCATTTATTTACAACAAAACGCCATCAGGAGGATCGACGAAGACGCCTTTCTTACTCAAACGAGTTTAAACCAGTTGTACTTGAGTGAAAATTTCATAGAAACGATTCCGAAATTCTTGCTAAACAGTACCAAAGCTATCACGACATTGAGCCTCGACGGAAACTGGATCGGTCATTTGGAGGCGGGTACTTTTCAAAGGGTATTCGAACTCAAAGAGCTGAGGCTTCAGAACAACAGGATTAAAGTGATAGAGAGGGGCGTTTTCGAACCGCTTCCTAACCTTCTCGAATTGCACTTGCAAAACAATTTTATAACCAGGGTCGAATCCGGTTCCTTCCACACTTTGCAAAACTTGCAGCACGTCAACCTTCAAGGCAACCTGCTCGCAGTGCTCGGAGACGTCTTCCTTCACGAGTCGCATTCTCTCGTCTCTATCCAACTGGACTCAAACAGTCTCATGACATTGCACAACGATTCGTTGAGAGGCCAGTCAAGCGTTCAGATTATGTGGCTGGGGCATAACAAGCTGACAAAACTCGACCGGGCTTTGTTCAGCGATTTGCTACTGATAAAACGAGTCTATTTGACGAACAACAGCATCGCTCACATCGAGGACGGTACGTTCGAACCGATGCAGGCACTCATGTTTCTCGATTTGAGCATTAACAGGCTCAAGTTCATTTCGGTCAAAACGTTCACCGATCTCCACGAACTCGAAGAACTTTACCTCTCTTCAAACGGCATCAGGCATATTGAGCCAAAAGCGTTTAACTCGCTGAAAAAGCTGAAGATTTTGGATCTGTCCGATAACGAAATTTTAGTCCTTCACGATGCTATATTCCAGAACAAGCTTCCTATAAAAACTTTAAACTTACGGAATAGCTCCGTAGCGAAAATAGATAAAGGCGCGTTTCAGGGGTTGAGCAGTTTGGACGAGCTGAACTTGGAATGCAACAAACTCGACGCAGACTCTCTAGTCCATCTCGTCATACCGAGTCTTCGAATTTTCAAAATAGCTTGCAATAATCTTTCTAACATTAACGGGAAAACTCTCAAAGGTCTCCCGATGCTACAACAACTGTCTTTGGACAACAACGCTATTGTCAAACTGCCGGCAAACACGTTCAACACGAATAAGAATTTAGTCAGAATCGACTTGTCCAGCAACAAGATCAGCGATTTCGAACACGATCTGTTTCACAATTTGAAACACCTCAAAGAACTCAAGCTGGAGGATAATTCCTTTCACAACGTGCCGTACGAAGCGTTGAACAACGTCAGCTCTTTAGAGACGCTTGTACTCTCCAGAAATTCAATCTCTTCTTTAGACGTCTCAAAACTAGCAGGTCTCGGCCGTTTGAGAGATTTAGATTTGAAAAACAACATTTTGACCACCCTGTCCGGTTTTGCTTCAGCGAATCTGACGTTTTTGTCTAGCGTAGATTTGAGCCGAAATCTTCTTTCTGCCCTGCCGGCCAACTTTTTCGTCCAGGCGAGCCTTTTGAAAAGGGTTGATTTGGCTTCAAACCGGTTCAGGCAGATACCGACGACGGCCCTTTCCGAGCAGAACCTGCCGAACCTCGCATGGCTCAACTTGACGGGAAACCCGCTGACTCTAATCCACGATCTCTCGTCGACCAGGAATTTCCCCGTCCTTCAAGAAATTCATATTTGCGAGACCAACCTGACCATCGTGACGAGTAAAGATTTCGAAGCGTTTCCCGCATTGCAGCATCTTTTCCTTGGGCAGAACAGGATATCCAGGGTGTCCCCCGGGGCTTTCCGCAGTCTGCCTCACCTCCTTACACTCGACCTCGGAGTAAACGAAGTTGAAAAACTGCCCCAAGAACGTTTAAAAGGCCTCACCCACCTTCGACTTCTTAATCTAACACACAACCGTTTAAAGGATTTGGAAGAATTTCCGAGTTCGCTCAAGTCGTTACAGATCCTCGACTTGTCCTACAATCATATATCCAGAATCACCAAGGGGACTTTCAAACATCTGGAAAACCTAGCTGAACTTTATATATATGGCAATTGGATATCCGCCATCGCCAGCGACTCTTTCAGGCCGTTGAAAAAGTTAAAACTTCTAGATCTATCAAGAAATTACTTGGAAAACCTGCCGCTCAACGCATTCCGTCCGTTAGAAACTCAAATCAGAAGTTTAAGGACTGAAGGTATGGCATTTGCATATTTACTTCTTTACTGTTTTAATAAATTATAAGACACAAAATAACTAAATTTAAACTCTGTAACCTCAATAGATCAGATTATTAGTCACTTGATTATTCGGAGATCGCGAGATGCGGTCTGGTATGACGTAGGTTTTAGAAAAACATTTTCTTTATCGTGCCAACGTTGCGATCGTTATTGAGATCATCTTCAGAGCCTGGGATGTATAAACATTGTTTATATTATACAAATACATTCAGAATGCGAAAAGAGTGAATTTATACAATGCTAAAAATTTTAGATAAAAAAATGAATTTATACGATGCTAGAAAATTTTAGATTAAAAAAATTAGCATTGTATAAATTCATTTTTCTAAATCTAAAAAGATTTTCTAGCATCGTATAAATTCATTTCTATCACGTCCTACATGTATTTGTAAAAATTATTAATATTTATAAATCACAGGCCCTGAAGATGACCTCAATAAAGATCGAAACGTTAGCACGATAAACAGCATGTCTTTCTAAAATCTGAATTTATACAATGCTAAAAATTTTAGATAAAAAAATGAATTTATACGATGCTAGAAAATTTTAGATTAAAAAAATTAGCATTGTATAAATTCATTTTTTTTTAATCTAAAAAGATTTTGTAGCATCGTATAAATTCATTTTTTTAATCTAAAATTTTCTAGCATGGTATAAATTCATTTCTCCTGCATGTATTTGTAAAATTTATCAATATTTATAAATCACAGGCCCTGAAGATGACCTCAATAAAGATCGAAACGTTAGCACGATAAAGAGCATGTCTTTCTAAAATATGGATTTATACAATGCTAGAAATTTTAGATAAAAAACTGAATTTATATAATGCTAGAAAATTTTATATTAAAAAAATTAGCATTGGATAAATTCATTTTTTTGAATCTAAAAAGATTTTCTAGCATCGTATAAATTCATTTTTTTATCTAAAATTTTCTAGCATGGTATAAATTCATTTCTTTCACGTCCTACATGTATTTATATAATTTAAACAATATTTATAAATCACAGGCTCTGAAGATGACCTCAACAAAGATCGAAACGTTGGCACGATAAAGAAAATGTTTTTCTAAAACCTACATCACACCAGACCGCATCTCGCGATGTCCGACTAATCATTGACTAACAGTCATTAAACACCACACATTATTCACTTGTTTATAAAGTCAAAAATTGATTATTTGTTTTTGTAAATATAACGTTTTAGTCACAGAAAAAACATTGTCAAACTAAAACATTTACATTAATCGCTGATGAATTTGTGTTTGAATTTCCTGAAATTCTAGCAGGGGTTGACGCTAACAATAAATAATCAAATCAAGAGAGATGGATTTAAGGTAACAGGCAATTCTCTAAGTGGATTGGATGACCCCGTCTATTTCCTAGAAGAATAAATCTCTCCCTGATGCTGAACGGAATTGAGGATAGTTCGATCCCGTCACACTGTCAAACGTGTAACCTAAGGCCTGCAGTTATTTCCATTTCCGTTCAATCCCAAGGGGAAAACGCCGTTTTGACTTACGACGACCTTTTTATTAAGTTCCCTAGTGAAATTATACCAGTTTAAATAACAATTAATTAAGTGTAGATACATTTATAGACATAATTATGATGTATACAATGATATAATTACATACTAGTACAAAAAGTACTAGTGACCATTTCATATTATGTAAAAGTTGTATGTTTAGTTAAATTTTAATAATTCAACATAAATGATAATTTTATTTACTATAAGTTGGTTGTTTTCGATCAATATGGTCAATCTAACCTCGCTAGATTGGTCTATCGAACCCCCTTCGGATTCTCGCTATCTTCAGTGGTGGGTCTGTGTGATTTATGTTTAGTTCCGTTTGCTTAATAAGTTCCGTTGTGATAGGAATCCAAAAAAATGGGGTTGTCCTGCAGAATCAAAGGGTCTCAATCCTCAATCCACTCACTCCATCATTCATAATTTCTATCAAAGGGTCTCACTCATTCTCTCTCTCCCTTCCTCTCACTTCATCTCCCCCTTCCTCTTTCTCTCACTCCTCACTCTATCTCTTCTCTTTTGCTCTCTCTCTCTCTCTCTCTCTCTCTCTCTCTCTCTCTCTCTCTCACACACATACTCTCTCTCGCTCTCTCTCTCTCTTTCTCCCCCTTTCACTCTCACTTAATTTTTCTTTCCTGCGTAACCTGTCCAACTCACTCTTTCTTTCACAAAATCTCTCTCTCTTTCATACTCACTCACACTCTCTTCTCTCCCTCTCTTTCTTTCACTCACTTTGAATCGCAATCACTCAATCACTCTCTTCCTGTCATTTAATTTCTCTATCCCGCGTAACCGTTATAACTCTCTCTTTCTTCCATCCAATTACTCTCTCTCTCTCCCTCTCCCTCTCCCTCTCCATCGCTCCCTCCCTCCATGGGAATCTCTCTCTCCCGCATTTACTTTATCGTTCACTCACTCATTCAGTCTCTCTCTTTTTCTTACTTACTCTCCTTTTCTCTCGCTCAATGAGTCTCCCACATTCTTTCGCTTTACATTTCTCTTTCTCTTTTTTAAACTCTCTCTCTCTCTCTCTCTCTCTCTCTCTCTCTCTCTCTCTCTCTCTCTCCCCCTCCCTCCCCCTCCCTCTCACTCACTCACTTGACCTTTCTACTTCATTCTCTTCCCATTCCTCTCTCAACTTCGACTCTTTTTTTTCTTTGCCACTCACTCATTCGATCTCCCTCTTTCTCATTCACTCTCTCTATTATCTCCCTGTCTTTCTTTGAGTCTCAATCATTCACTCTCTTCCTCTCACTTAATTTCTTTTTCCCGTTGAATGTCTAAAATTCTCCCTTTCTTTCTTTCACGCCACCTCTCTCTCTCTCTCTCTCTCTCTCTCTCTCTCTCTCTCTCTCTCTCTCTCTCTCGTACACACATACTCTCTCTCGCTCTCTCTCTCTCTTTCTCCCCCTTTCACTCTCACTTAATTTTTCTTTCCTGCGTAACCTGTCCAACTCACTCTTTCTTTCACAAAATCTCTCTCTCTTTCATACTCACTCACACTCTCTTCTCTCCCTCTCTTTCTTTCACTCACTTTGAATCGCAATCACTCAATCACTCTCTTCCTGTCATTTAATTTCTCTATCCCGCGTAACCGTTATAACTCTCTCTTTCTTCCATCCAATTACTCTCTCTCTCTCCCTCTCCCTCTCCCTCTCCATCGCTCCCTCCCTCCATGGGAATCTCTCTCTCCCGCATTTACTTTATCGTTCACTCACTCATTCAGTCTCTCTCTTTTTCTTACTTACTCTCCTTTTCTCTCGCTCAATGAGTCTCCCACATTCTTTCGCTTTACATTTCTCTTTCTCTTTTTTAAACTCTCTCTCTCTCTCTCTCTCTCTCTCTCTCTCTCTCTCTCTCTCTCTCTCCCCCTCCCTCCCCCTCCCTCTCACTCACTCACTTGACCTTTCTACTTCATTCTCTTCCCATTCCTCTCTCAACTTCGACTCTTTTTTTTCTTTGCCACTCACTCATTCGATCTCCCTCTTTCTCATTCACTCTCTCTATTATCTCCCTGTCTTTCTTTGAGTCTCAATCATTCACTCTCTTCCTCTCACTTAATTTCTTTTTCCCGTTGAATGTCTAAAATTCTCCCTTTCTTTCTTTCACGCCACCTCTCTCTCTCTCTCTCTCTCTCTCTCTCTCTCTCTCTGTCTCTCTCTCTCTCTCTCTCTCTCTCTCTCTTCTTTCTCTCGCTTTCTACTTCACTCCCTCTGACATTGACCCACATAATATGAATGCTTGGGTATCTTCACTTGCTACAAAATTTACAAAAATAACCTTTAGTTTATTCTTGTGATGAAACACATTATTTTTTTTTAAAGTTAAATTAAGTTAAATCCTCTGTAGTTGCACATTCGGTGTGTCCTATTTAATTATTACAATAATAATTGTTTGACGGTCAATTAATGGTGTAATTACCTTTTCAGAGAACCCACTCCATTGCGGCTGCGAACAGCAGGAGCTTTGGGAATGGTTGCGTGACCACCAAAAAGTGGTCGGCGTCGGCCTAGGCCAAGGCGGATTGAGGTGCGAGCAGCCGCCGGAACTTCGCGGCTTACTTTTCCTCGAAATCGAACCGCCCAGGTTTTGCTCTGCTCCGCTCGTCCTCAAATTGGCAATCCAGGACATCCAGCCGTACAGCGTCGTCGTCTCCTGGCAGAGCAGGAACCACACCGGCCTCCACGGCTACCGGGTCGCCTATCACGCCCTCGACACCCACCAATCGGTTGGTACATTTATAACCGAAACAATAAGAAAATTAGTCGTAACGTTTGATATATTTGCTAGAATAAGTAAAAGAACTCGAAGAATTTTCCCACAATCTGCGCTTAGAGAAATAAGTATCTCTAATTAAGGTGAAAAAGCACAAATTTGTAAAAACACACGAGTCGTAAAGTTACCATGTTAGACTTTAAAATTTTTGTCTTTAGGCTTCTAATTCTAATTCTAATTTTAGGCTTCTAGGAGGGTTGTTAGTAGAGATTTGGCCAATATGCTATACATAAGGCAAAAAAAGGGTTGTCAGTCGTCAGGGCGGTGCGCACTTGATTTTGAAGGTTTGGTTAAATTGTTTAGTTCAATGTCGTTGTAGTGAACAAAAACAATAGATTTTTTTTATGATTTTAACATATCAGTCGTCATATTTTCACACAGCAATAAATATAAACACCAAGATATATTTTATGGTATATTCTTTCTACTTAGCACGTGTGCGACCTTAAAATATGTCTTATGCTAATGTGCCAATAGGAGGAGAATGATCTCTGAAAGTTACTCAGATGCCAAATGATCCTCGCTTCCAAACGAAAGTATATTCATCTCAAGTGGATCAAGTTATCCTCCATCTGGTACTCCTGGCAATTTACTACCTCCACCTCCGCCGTCCAGTCCGCATCCGACGGAGCCGGTAGTTCGATCAGAACCAACGTTCACACCCTGTGTATTTTACTGGATTAAATCACCAAAAGAGAAGAGGCTTCGAAAATTTAAGCGAAAAAGGGTCACGTGATTAGTACTCACGGTTGTAGGGTAGTGCTGTTTTGCAGCATTGTAAAGTTTTGGGCACGCCGTGCTAAATAACATCAAGAATATTAAGATAAAACGATTAAACGCTATATCTATATATCTATATCGGAATAAAGGGTGATTTTTTTATCTGTTTATTTTCTACAAAGCTTTGAGACATTGTTTTAAAATTTCTGAATTTTTTATATCAATATTTTTATAAAAATAATTCTATGCATAAAATTAGTGTAAACTCTAGAATTAGCGGTGTTTACTTACCAATAGCCCGATAGTGAATTTTATTTGTTTATTATTTATTACATAAACTATTAAAACTAACAACTTTTTTAAAATAATTTTTAGTACATTACAATTACCTTAAAGTAGGTAAATGTATATTTATCGATGTGTGAAAATGAGTTTTTTTCTTGTGGTGACCTTTCTTTCACTGCGACCTCATCTAACGTGGAATTGACCTTTCAATATTTCAATACACAAGAAAGTGCACCACCAGAAATGTGGTTGAAGAATATTCGTAATACCAATTCTTTTATGTTCCTAGTCATTAGTGTCTCCTTTCCGAAGTGGCCTGGAAATCGTTAGGATAGCTTTTTATTCGTTTATGGGGAATTTGTAGTTGATTGGAGAACGGCTTGTTTTATTTTTGCTGTTATCGTGTGTTATCAAATTTTTATGTATATGAAACATGACAGTGTTTCTGTCTACTCCATGGTTTTGCTACTTCTACTATCAGTGTGTTTATAAGAGTGGATTTGTCCGTGTGCGCGTGGTGTTGCTTATTCAGTATGAAATACCATTATTTTATGGGGGCGTCGGTGGCCGCAACTGTTTAGGCGTTGACACGGCGATCATCGCTGTAAGGTAAAGGTCCCGTGTTCGAATCCAGCGGCCCTACATTCGAACCCGACATACTTACAAATGGGCTTTTTTTCAAAACCACCGCCACCCTGAGGGTTGAATGACCTCTGCTGTTGCGAACCCTCGTAAAAAAATTTAAAACATTATTATTTTACCTTTGTCTTACTACCTTCTCTTTTTCTGTTGTACAAATAATATACGAACTAGATATTGCTTTGGCTAACAATTGTTTTGGAATGGTGGAAAGTTGAAAAAAAATACACATTACTGTAAGTTACAATTAATTAAGGTTTTTAGTTGAGATAAAAAAGTCAATGGCACGAGCGGGATTCGAACCCACGATCTTCGGCTTGATACGCCGCTGCTCTACCACTTGAGCTATCGTGACCTCGATCCACTCGGACATCAACTTCCCATCTCAACGCACCTTTTGAATTTTCCCTCCTTTTTGCCATTTTTCATTACACAACATTTGAAACAATTGCTCTTATTCTCATACAAATATATAAATACGGCGTCTAAGCGTTTGATCTTAAAATTGTTGATGTTATTTAGCAAGGCGTTCATAAATGTTTACTAGACTGCAAAACAGCACAAATGCGATAACCGTGCGTACAAATCACGTGAACACCTTGTTTGCTTAAATTTACGAAGCCTCTTCTCTTTTGGTGTTTCAATTGAGTAAAAGACACAGGGTGCGAATGTTGGTGCTTATCGAACTAGCGGCTCCGTCGGACGCGGACTGGACGGCGGAGGTGGAGGTAGTAAATTGCTAGGAGTGCAGGGTGGAGGATAGCTCGATTCACTTGAAATGTCGTATACTTCGGTTTGGAAGTAGAGATCATTTGGTATCTTCGTTACTTTCAGGGATCATTCTCCTCCTATTGGCACGTTAGCGTAGGACATATATTTATAATGGTCGCACCTGCCATAAAGAATGAATATAATGTATATCTCGGGTTTTATATTTATTGACGTGTAAAAATATGAGGTCTGTCAATCTTTGTCTTTGTCCTTATGTGAAGAATTAATAATAAAAAACTTGAAAACTTTTACTTTTTAAATTATTCACGGAAATGCCAACAGTTGTGAACAGTTTTTTCTTAAGTTTTGAATGACAACTATGATTGATTTTAATAAATTAATGAAAAAGTTTGTGAATTTTTGTACCAAAAAGTTCTGTTTAGCCGTAAGGAAAAGATTTATTTTCTGTAAATATAATACTGTGTATATTAGATTATTATATACATCTAGATTATTTGATTAAAAAAATATATTTTCTTTTATTTGCAACATTATATTTTTTCTCATTTTTTGGGGTGTAGGTAAATAGAGGAATTCCTTTCAATTCCTATCCCAATCCTTGTGTGTTAGAGAAACACACTCCAATTTGCATCAGTAATGATTTGTAAAGTAGTAGAATAGACAAAACACCTAAGTACTACTTGTACTAATCTACTTTTGAACAAAAATATCCCGACTCTATTTTGCTTCGTCTTAGAGATAGGAAAACAAGAATTCATTCCATCTTGGGTTGGAAGGGTGATAACTCTCGAATTGGGGCTACTTCGAAATTGATTTTGATGAGGCGATTTGGACGATTTGTCATCAACAACACTGACTCCGCTCCAGTGAGTTTCCTTCCCTATTCCTATGCCGGTTGCGCTGTAGTTATTGAATCCATTCAGTTTAAAATTGACAAATCGTTGGCTTAATTTTCTACAAATGATAATTGTGTTCAGTCTAATTCTAAAGCTTAATAATTTTTTATAGTCGTTAAATTTTTAAATGACACAAAGTCTTACTTCGACAGTCTCCCTTGTCAACCTACGCAAGAAAACGCTAAGTGTACCTTCAAAAACTTTGAACCTCAAATCTTGTTAATGTAAATATTTAATTTTTTGTAATATAAATTGGCTTTTTTACGAGAAGAGTACCAGAATAGTTTTTCTTTCTTTGGTTAATTCTAAAATCGTAGATGTTGATGATTAAGATGATTGGTCAGAGTGTATTTTATACGGCGCCATTTAAGAGCTATTGCATTCCCTGTTCTGTGCTTAACCGTTTAGCACACCGTTGTATTCAGGAATTCGATTAGCAGCGGTTTATTTTCTTCTACTGTTACATTGTACATCCCAAAGAGCTTCTTCCTGCTGGCAAGTGTAACACCACAGTTTGTTATTAGGTATGTTGGTGTTTCCTCTGTTTCTTTGCACAGACTGTACTCGTTTATAGTACCTTGTTAAGAATCCTGTTAAGATTCATAGTTTTCGTCCTGTTTCCCTTAATACATTCTGTCACTGCTTTCGTTCCAAATTTGTTAGACGGTTCTTTGATTTTTTATGTCCAATGAGTGAGTTCCGTTGTTCCCTCATTTTCTTTTTATCCTTCTGTCTAATGTACTCATTGGTAGTGTGAGGTCCTATGTCACAGAAGGGTTACGGTCCTCTCAGCGGTATAACAGCTTCTTATCTTGCAAGGGTGTCTGCTTTCTCTTTGCGTTCTACTCCCAAATGTCCTGGGACCCAGCAGAGGTTGACTTTGCCCTGTATGCCTAATATGTTTGGTTTTACAGATCTGCGCCATCTTTGAACTAATGATGTATGAATTTAGTGGTTTGGTGGTATCTGACATGATAGCTATGTTCTTATTTTTGTACGCTTTATTCAAATTGAATTGAGTACATCTCTCGACTGCAAAGACCTCAGCTTTTAGTTCGGTGTTCCTAGCATTTAGTTCCATACCTGAATACTCCTGACCCCGTAACTTCCTGTGTTCAAAATCCATCTGTGTACCAGTATATGGTGCCACTTTTAAAGGAGGTGTTTCGCTTTTTCCCATTCTTTCTTGGTACCTACGTTGTTCGGAAGTTTTGATTAAATTCAAACATCCTGCTCATGTCATCACTTGGAGCCATGAGTATTGGTTGGTCTTTCATTATGTTGTTGCGATCGCTCCATTTTGGTCTAAAAGTCTAAAACAGATTCACAACACACATGTTTTCAGTGGAGTGTTATAGATCAATCTTTTGTTATCAAAGAATGATGATGGTGATGGTACTTGTACTTTTCCTAGTAATTCATAGACTGTTTTTTTTTTTTTTTTTTTTTTTTTTGGGGGGGGGGGGCTTTTTTTGTTATGTCGCCTCTAAAACATCGGTGGCAGTTTCTTCTCCCATCTTGTATAACCAATAGATGAGGGCTTAACAGGCAACTACCCGTTGGATGTCGCAAACGATTGGTCAAACCACTTTACAATACATATTTTATACCGTTATCCATTAAAAATTTGGCATGGGCTCTGTCGAGATTGAAACCCAGAAACCCTTGGTTGGCAAATACAAGTCGAACAACCTAACCACTCGGCCACCGCGGTCCCCAAGAAGGTCGGAGGTATTCGTTTGTCCCATGTTTGGTATACATTGAAATTATTTCCTTTAGTCCAGTACATTAGGCAAAATGAGCATTGAGTAAGTGCTATCTCAGATGCCATTTACCGATATACAACCTTATCCATTCTATGAGTTTCACCCCTTCTAACTGTAGCAAGGTTTCTATGAGTTTTGGTTAGGGTTCTTTGAGTTTACTATGTCTGGTATTGGCTTAATCTGAGATGGAGGGGGTCTGTGTTTGATCTTGTTTATCCCAAATAGGTTATGGGCCTGCAAATCCTCCCAGGCCAGTATGTTTAATTGTCCAGGACTGAAAGGAGAGTGATCGCCGTAGGGTTTGTGCTTTGGGAATATTTTTATTTTGTTATTTTACAAAACCACTTCGCTAAGGAGAATAGGTTTAAAGGCTTCTGTGAACAGAGTATATGATAATGAGGTAATTCTTGAGCGTATGAAAGAACAATAGACAACAACCTAGGACGCTACTGGCAAGCATCGGCATAAGTGAATAGTTAAGGATCTACTGAAATTCTAAATTGTAGGTCAGGCAGAACTTGAGTATTAGAAAGTGTGTGAAGGTTAAATACAATTCAATTAATTAAGGTTTTTAATTGAGATAAAAAAAGTCAGTGTCACGAGCGGGATTCGAACCCACGACTTTCGGCTTGATACGCCAAAGGTGGGGTTGAGATGGGAAGTGAATGCCCGAGCGGAACGAAGGAAGTCACGATAGCTCAAGTGGTAGAGTAGGGGCGTACCAAGTCGAAGGTCCTTTTGAATTTCCCGTCCTTTTTGCCATTTTTCATTACACAACATTTGAAAAATGGCAAAAAGAAGGGAAAATTCAAAAGTTGCGGTTGAGATGGGAAGTTGATGTCCGAGTGGATCGAGGTCACGATAGCTCAAGTGGTAGAGCAGCGGCGTATCTAGCCGAAGATCGTGGGTTCGAATCCCACTCGTGACACTGACTTTTTATCTCAACTAAAAACTTTAATTAATTGAATGATATTAATTGGTCAAGCGGACCACGAAAACTAGTGGAGGTAAATACAATAACTTTAAATTTCAATAGAAGACTTTTGTGCCAGATTCGATCAGAAAGGAGCCTGTTCCATAGAGAAAGACCATTTGGCCGCACTTATATTTTTGAGAGAAGACGCTTTATTTTAAAATAAAAAAGTCTCAATTCATAGTGAAAGCCTAGACCCTCTGTCGTGGCAAATAGGAGATTCGGCCTTCCTAATGACACGACCACAATGCTAATTATTATTTTTCAAAGACTGAACTCCTCTTTAACACAAGATATCACCGTATCGTGGGTATTCCACCACAGGAATGGCCCTTAAATAATATCTTCCGTCAAATTTGAAAGGTAACGACATCAAAGGGTGCCAGAGAACGGCAATAGACTTATCAGTTCACAACAATAGTGCTTATCGGGCCAATTCGGCCAGCCGACTATCCATTATCTTCTTGAGGCAGAAATTCCGCAACAGATATACAATAATGGGATCGTGACAATAGTCCTCAACCTCCTCGGTGTTCGACCTTCTGTGAGAACAGATAAAGACTGTCTTATCTCACTGCCCTCCTTGTCCCGTTTGCCGAATATCCTCATAGACTTTGTGTAATGGTCGATTATCGCCTCTTTTTTTCCAACATGACCGAACTTATAAACAATAAAAAAAAAAAACTTAATACTTCATGGTTCGTGATATTTTGCCCGAGTGGTTTTATTCATAGATTGTGCTTTCAGCAGGTGGAGGGCAAGTTGCTGGATCGCAGTGCCAGGTCGGTGAAACTGGGTCGCCTCAACCCCGGCACTCGTTACCTTGTTTGCGTACTGGGCCTGGGCCAGTGGGTCGTCCCTGCGACGAACACAACCACGAGCCCTCATCTCTCGGAAACTATCCCGCAACTGACCGACTCGCAGACGAGCCGCTGCACTGAAGTGAGTATTTCTAAACAGAGAAAATAACTACATATAAGTAATTATAACTCTGTGTGTGCGTACGTGCGTGTGCGCGTGCGCGTGTGCGTGTGCGTGAGACAAACAGACAGAGAGAGAAAGAGAGAGATAGAGAAGTTTTAACGAAAATAACACAATAAGACTGAATCAGAGAAGAGCCAAAGGTGGTTGCTTAAATTAGAAATAAAGGGGTTTAAGAGAAAAGGGTTAGGAATATGTATTTGTTTTTGTTTGTATGAGTGTGCATGTGTGAGTGTGATCAAATTGGACTGATTTATAAAAATAAATGCTTATAAAAATATGAGAAACAACAATGATCAGAATGGTAGCTGACCATTATTTTAATATATAATAGAGGTATTCAAGATCTATGTGTTAACCATGTTAACTCTGTTAGATCCTGTTAGATCGAGAAAAATTATGACGTACACTTGTAAGAATCAGCTAGTTAACATTGCTCGATCTAACCGGCCAGGGCCAATGTTAGAGGTTAGGTCGAAAATGTAGTTAGGGCGGAAGTAACCAACATGGCCGCTATGAATTTAACAGCTGTTTTTTATTTACATGTATTTTTATTTTTAAATAAGCCTCAATTAAATCAGACCAATATGTTTGTTCTGTTAATTTCTGAACTGTCCTTATACTCTCGTTCATAATAGATACATCCCATAACCTATGAAATTGTAGGATGTTACACGTTAGGATTCAAGTTAGGTTAGTCGGTACGAATTGAAGCGTGTCATTTGTTAGTACTTTTCGGGTGCATACATAGCATTTTGAATGAAAGAGTTGATTAATTTTCCTTTTTTATTAACTTCTGACATCTTATAATTTAACACAAAAGAAAACTAAAACAAACAACAAGCCTTGAAGGATTGTTATAGCTTTATTTTTGGTTCTACTAATTGCCACGCGCAGCATTGCGGAAAAATTAACGTTTTAACATACTAAGAAAAGAAGAGGGCGTTCACGATCTTACAGGACATTTCTCTATTTGAGTTAACACGAGTTAAAATCTTACAAACATCGTGAATACCCATAATTTTGTGATATTTATACAAATATCCGGTGACACACTTTGAAAAACGAAAACAAATTAAAAGGACCCCGATGTTTTCCCTAGTACCAGTAGTAGTAGTAGTCTGTAGAACGACACAGGACACCCAGCAGAACTGTTAAGTAAGTTGAGACCCAAGGACGTTAATCATAAACATTTTCAACACCCTTTTGTATTCCCTTTTGTCATAAAGACTGCCTTGGCCGAAAACCCGGCTGCCACTTTTGACTTTCCGTCTCGCCCCGTCGGCGGGCCGTTCAAGCCAAATTCACTAAATGTCTATTTTGCTCGGGATGCCTTTACTCCGTGTCCGGAATCGCGGAAACTGCGGAAAAGACGTGACAGCGGCCGACCACGGACTGGAATTCAATCCCTTCATTGTTTAACCTCTTTCATTACGGCCTCTCTTCAATTGTACTCGCTTCCTTGTTTGCCCGAAATATGCAAATACTCTCGGGTTGTTATGTTCAGGAATTTATGCACATAAAAGTGCTTGAGATTCAACAATTAATGTAACTACTGTCCCTAAAATGTTAAAAACGCCTGAAAAAAGATATGATAGATATAAAGATATAGATAATGAAGATATTCCACGTCATTTAAGAATATCACGGTAATTGAGAATATTAAAATCCTCTGATAATAAATATAGAAAAAATTTAATCTCGGTGAAAGTTGTCTTTTTGCTTTTACGGTTCGTGTCACTATCAAGCTTATGGAAAAAGATCATTAAACGGATTAAGTTTTGAAACTGGGTGATGAATTATTAATAGCATCTTTGAAAACCAACGCCGAATAATCCTCTTGGGCCTAAAACTGCTCTGGCTACTTCTTCTTTCTAGAGATTATACACCTCAGATGTATTATTCATTTCACGACTATGAACTTTATAGAGGTTTTTTCCAAGGTGCTTTTCATGTTAATATATAGAAAAAGAAGACGGCAAGTAAAAATAAAAATCCCAATTTTTCTGATGCGTCTCCGAACTGTTTCTGAACGGAATTTAAATGTGAATGGTAGCCTCTAATTACGATTTCTTTCGGCTAATTCGTGGTTCATTTGTATTCCTGCCTTGGGAGAAATTATACCACAACCCCAAACCCAGAAACCCGATGTTTGAACAAAAGACAAGAAGCTAAGAACAAAGTCGTTTTAAAAGAGGAAAAATCGATCAAACTTCCAAAACTTAAAAAAATCATTATTTAATAAAGTAATAGTTGTCCTCAGTGTAATAAGTTTGGGATATTTTGTACAAAAATTTTCTTCCAGAAACAAGACGTGGGTTTTGCATTTGCAAATATCGTTTAAAAATTGTAAGTAGAAGGATTCTCTATCTGTCTCACTCACTCTCCCTCTTTTCACACTCTCTCCTTCTCTCTTTTTCCTTCTCTCTTTTTCCTCCATACTTTCTTATTTTCTTTTTCCTTCATGCAAAGATGTTTTTGACGTAAATGATCAAAATCAATTTTTAAAAATAAAAGGCATAGAGAGAAAATTATTTAAAGCATATTATATTGAATATAAATACTGAAAGAAAGTATCTAGTCTGGACTGGTCATAAGAAATTTTTATGAATATATTATAAACTATTTTCATCCTACATTGCATTGATAGTCTTTGTTTTACTATTTTGTGTATGTATGCCAGTTTTTGTTTTTTATTAAGAAGGGTAATCCAAAATGTAGGTCTACCCTTCTGGAAGGCCCAAAAATTTCGCATTTTGTTGGGAAAAAAAACTGGTGTGACGAAGGGGGATCTTTCAATTTTTCCAGGAAATCCGTCTGGATCTTGAGTTTCGTTCCTTGAAAAATTGAACGTGCCCCCCTTCATCAACAGTTTTTTAACAAAATGCAAAATTTTTGTGACTTCCAGAGGCGGAATAAAAAAATGTGGGTATACCGCTAGAATCTAATTCAATGGAGAACTTTTGAGGGAATTTGCAAATCTCCAGGAGTTTGTAGTTTATTAACAGTTACCAATCCAACATTTTAAAAAAATTCCAAATTTCAACATTTTCGTTTTTCTAAATTTTACGTGAAGAATTTTTCCATCAATTCTGCAATATAAATCGGATTCCTTACAGCAAATTTAACTTTCTATCAGGTGGCACAAACCAGATTTTTATACAGTCAATAATTCCGAAGTTTATAAGCAATTTAGTGAACTTGAGTCGAAAAATTAAAAAACACCCAAAACCTAAACCTGAAATTACTTCTGTACCGTTGAGATTTGGACAGGGATTTATAGGAAGTTTCTTTTTATGCATATGGTGAGTAGAAACATCTTCTGACATTTTCGACACTTATCGCCAGTCAGCCTGCATATAATAAANCACTGTATTTTTGTCAATTGAGATTGAAGTACTGTTAAGTTTTCCGCCTAACTTGCCTACTAAATATCACATTTCATTGAAAATAATGTGTTTTATTGTATATCTTGAAGTGTTTAATCAGCATTTTTATTGAAATTGTTTGCTTTATTTCAGGTTAGGACGTTAGAAGGGACGTCGGGTGAAGCGGAGCCGAGTAGCAGAATTCCCGGATCCATCCTGACCCGCCGGCTAGGACTGATAGTCGGCTGTTGTCTCGGTTTCGTCGTGTTTATAATCCTCGTGTCTGTGCTTAGCTATCTGAAAATAAAGAAACAAAGGGAAGCCGCGAAGAGGGAAGCGTCCGGAGTGGGCATGTCGAACGACTACCTTTCTTACAGGCACTTCTCCCTTCAAAGCGCCGATCCTTTCGCGACGACGCTGTCCGCCTAGCAGTCGCTTCCGTCCCTCTAGGCAACGTCCGTCTCAGTCACCACCTTCAACAACCAGAACTTGTTCTGAAAATCCCTCCGGTGGACTTTCCGAACGGGTTGAAACGAAGGGGGTGGCTGAGCCGGAATCCCAAGAAGTTTTTGAATCGTATTCGTGGGATTGTGTCTCGAGGGGCCGCTCTTGATGAATGACATCCGAGCTAAGATCGAACAATTACACAAAACACAATAATAAAACAAAGGAATAAAAAGCCTTCGGCTTGTTTAACTTCGAAGTCCTTGAATATTCTGTGACAGTTATGGCACATTTTTTAGCCGAAGAAGCAGCTATCTGCTGAAATTCCCGTTCCAAATGTTTTTTTCTAGGCAATCTTTGTTGAATAAAATCGGGTTGTGATTAAATTAACCTTTAATAACCGAAAGTTTTAAGTAGGACGTTCTTTTACAATTAAAGCTAATAGTGTAAATAACTCAATTAACAACTAAATATACTAATATTGCTATTATAAAATATATGTATGTATATATANCTTATATATATACTTCATGTTAAGTATTGTAACGTTTAAAAGAAAAAAATATATATATATATAAAACCAAAAATGAGAATTTTGCTCATTTTTTCTATAAATCGAGACGCTGTTTTTCCTATTGAAAAACTGATAATGTGATTTGTATGTAAAATGTAAACTGTCTTATAGTTAATGTTAAACGGTTGCCCGTAGAATACCTAGTTTGTTTAACTACTGTAAAAAGCTCAAAAATTTTTAACTTTTTTTTTTTTAGATTTAATTTTATACGTTTTTTTACATAAGGGTGTAAGGACGATATTGTCTTTATTATTTACATCTTTAAGTGTGTATAATATTTTTTTCATTTGTAAAACTCAGCGTCAAAATGCATTTGGAGAATTCTGAGTTTTGAAATGTCTTTGAATTCAAAGTTTTCCATATCATTCAACTGGCGAAAATTTTGTCCTCAGTATTCCCCAAAAGTATTAAAGGGCAAACGTGTTTGTAATATATTTATACTAAGATAAAAAAAATAATTTTGTTTGTAGATTAGATGTTTGGTTTTATCTTCTGTAGGGTCATAAGTTTTATCATTGTGATCTGTTGAAATTCAACCTTGATTTGTTTTTGTACAAAAACGTGAAATTGTACCAAAGAGGAAGAAAAATAAAAAATAGCATAATTATTGTTTTAATGTATTATAATATATTTTGCTGAGAGACGTATTAACTAAATATAAATATTTATTGTTGTTGGAATAATGTTAAAATCATTAAAAACCAATGGGGTGTATGAATAAAACAACTTTTTCAAATTTTGTAATTTTAATTAATAATCCCTTGCTTGTGCATATAAAAGACTCGACTATTGTAAAGAAATATAATACAGTATGGCTTGCTATGATATGCAAAAAAAAACCCAGCATTACGGTGGACCCTAAATTTTTGTGATATGTAATAGTTAGACTTTTTTGTCTAAAGTCTTAATTTGAGATGAAAAAGCTAGTGTCACGAGCGGGATTCGAACCCACGACTTTTGGCTAAATATGCCGCTGATCTACCACTTGAGTTATCTTGACTTCTATCCTTGCTGACAATAACTCTTCATCTTAACCTATAATCTTTTGAATTTTTTCTCTTTTTGCCATATTTTCAAATGTCATTTAATCAGGATTCGATTTTCGGCGATTTATGAAGTGTCTACAGGGAGTACGTACTTCAGTAATTATTATATTAATCCATGATATAATAATATTTAGAAGTCATAATTAATCATAATAATTATTTTAATTAATTTTACTTTTTATATAACGTCTTTGTTGAGATGAAAAAGCTAGTGTTACGAGAGTAATTCGAACTTACCACGTTCGGCCGCTGCTCTAACCACTTGTGCTATCCTCACCAAGCTTTTGACGCGGTCATTCACCCGGGAATTCTCTTCAAACAAAAGCAGTTTCTACCCACTCCTTAGTCCTTATTACCAAATCCTAAACCCCATCTAACAGATCGTTGCTTCAAAGTAAGGTGTGGCAATACGTTCTCTGAAACAAGACCGATCCAGGCCGGTGCTCAACAAGGGAGCCGTCTTGGTCCAACCCTATACAAGGTTTCCGTTTTGGATGACCCGGCTGAATTTCTCTTGAACAAATGTCGCTATCAAAAAATCACAAAATACGTGTTTAATATTTTACTAGTTTCAAATTTTTATCTTATTTGGGAGAAAAATTATACAAAGTTCCTCAGGCCCAGTTCAACTTCGAATTTTCAAATACAACCCTGTACATACTAACACAACATTTTGAAGGATTTTTGACGCTTAAAACAATGGTGTAATCGGATTTTAAATTTGTCAAAAAAGACAAAACGTTAAAAAAAAACAGTCTTTGGCTTGCTATTTATTAATGACATTTTATGTTCGAATTGCCTGCCTTGCGTAAAGATTTGCTCTTTTCAAGTTCTCCTCACCGCCCCAGCTCAGAGCGATAGAGTCAGCGGAGATGGTTTGACAAGCATTTTTTTTACTTTGCCGCAATTCTTCCACTGAGGTTGCTGGGTATGATTGGCGAGGAAACTGTTTTTTTAATGGTTCCAGAGAAAATCGTCAGGTGGAGTTAAATCGGGTGGCCGAGGAGGCCAACAGATGGGCCATGAAGGATAGATGTATAATCCTGGAAGTGACGATTCAAACAACATCTCACCGGCAAAGAATTCTGCGAGGGCATAGTGCGAGTGACGGGTACCGTTGAAGCATTTATCAAGGGAAGACGGACCAAGGGAAATGGTTTTACATTAAAATATTTAGAGATCCTTATAATCATGGATATTACAATTGGTTAATCATTTTAAAATATTATATTCATAATTTGTGTTGGTTGTTTAAAAAACCTGCTTCAGGAAAGAAATTCCACCTTATAAAGAAGAGAATTTCCTCTGGAACATGCTCGAATCTAAAACCGTCGGTTGTGACTGAGACAGATGTTGAAAGTTTTCCCGGTTTCTACGGCACGTTTGCCAAGGGGGCGGGTGAGATCGTTTTCAAATTTATTGACCCTCTTGGTCTGGATCTCAGGAGTTATTAAGGCGGTTAACAGGTGCGCCTTGGTTCTGAAATCAGCGGCTTCGTTAGTGGATGTACACCGAGGAACAACCGGTGGATCTAAACAAGACGTTTATAGTGGATATTTATTGCTTGCAACCCATGCGCTCCCTTGTTATGGACTTTCTAGGGGCCCAGGTTAAAGTTCTCCAGCATGCCAAGGTACCCGGTATCAGAAACTGAAAGTTAAGGCAAAGGCAATACAATAAGAAATGTTTAAAAATGATTATCAAAAAAATAGCGAATTTATTACTGATTACTGATTTACATCAATTATAACCTCAAATCTGCACATGCTCGAACACACATAAGCGTTGTACAGAGTTGAGCCTATCACTTCTCGCAATTCAGGGGCAAGTCTAGCTTTCGAAAATTTGAAATTAATTATCGGCAGGACTCAAGAATCCTCCACCCCGGGTCTGAGGAGTCCTCGGTCAGCCATCGGTATTAACCGTCCAGCCGCTGAGGTTGGGGCTCAGGGGCTATCAAATACTAGGATATTTCAGCCTCCAACCCAATCAGTTCCAATCCATTCTTACTCTCACTTATAGATAGACTCAATACATTGTTTCTTATTGACGCACCCTTCACGTTAGGATGGTGGAGTACTCGATATTCCTCCATCACTCCCTCCATATGCCGTCTGACCCGATACATTCACGCCAATAAACGCATTCACTCTCAACACACACTAAGGTACACAAAATTATCAGTAACATATACAATAAAATTGTCCTATTTCCTTCATGAATCGCAACAGGAGACCCAGATACTCGTTGACGCGGTCAAGGACAATCAACGCTTTGCATCGGGGGTTCTACATGGGGACACATACGGTCTTTGGCCCAAACGAAACAGTGAACATTTCACTTACTTACTTAATTTTTATATTCTACATTCTTCAGAAACTGGTTTCGTCTTTTAAAAAATAATAAGAAAATATTTGCATGGCATGCTTAGTTCCTCTCTAGAAGGAAAAATAAATAAAAAATCGTTTATGAATAAACACACACACACGTTTTCCCCCTATTTTATTTCCTTTATCAACTACTGTTCTTTTTATCTAACTATCTCTTTTTCTCCTGTATATCTTCCTCTTTGCCACTATAAATTTCTCTCTCTATCCCTCTCTCCCTCTCTCCCCTTTCCCTCATTTTCATATCTTCCTAGATCTTTCAATCTCTCGATCTTTGCCTCATTTTTCTTTCAATCTCTCTCCTCTCTCATTCTTTCTCTTTCATTTTCTCTCTCTTTCTATCTCTCTCCCTTTCTCCCCTTTCTCTCTCCCTCACACGTTTTCTCTTTCTTTCTTTATCTGTATTCATTTGTCTGCCTTTCATTTTATTTCTTCGTATATGTTTCTCAATCCCTTACACTTTCTGTTTATCCCACTCTCTCTCCCCTCTCATTCTTTTTCTTTCACTTTATCTCCCTCTCTCTGTTTCTGTTCCTCTCTCTCTTTCTCTCCCTATCTCCCTTTCCCTCTCTCTCACACTTTTTGTCTTTCTTTCTTTATCAAAAATCATTCGTCTGCCTCTCATTTTCTCTCTTCGTATATTTTTCTCACTCCCTTACATTTTCTGTTTAACCCACTCTCACCCCCCTCTCATTCTTTCTCTTTCACTTTCTCTCCCTCTCTCTGTTTCTCTCCCTCTCTCTCTCTCCCTATCGACCTCTCCCTCTCTCTCACACTCTCTCTCTCTCTCTCTCTATCACTAACCATCCCCCTATCTCCCATTCCCTCTCTCTCACACTTTTTCACCTTCTTTCTTTATCACTAATCATTCGTTTGCCTCTCATTTTCTATCTTATTTCTATATCTTTATTTTTCTCACTTCCTTATACTTTCTGTTTATCCCACTCTCTCTCCCCTCTCATTCTTACTCTTTCACTTTCTCTCCCTCTCTCTGTTTCTCTTCCTCTCTCTCACTCCCTATCGACCTTTCCCTCTCTCTCACACTTTTTCTCTTTCTTTCTTTATCACTAATCATTCGTTTGTCTCTCATTTTCTATCTTATTTCTATATCTTTATTTTTCTCTCTTCCTTACACTTTCTGTTTATCCCACTCTCTCTCCTCTCTCATTCTTTCTCTTTCACTCTATCTTTCTCTCTCTGTCTATCTATCTATTTATCTTTATTTATTTCTTTATTCTTGACCAGTGTGTTTATTTATTTATATAAAAATAAGAAAACTGTAAACTGAATACTCATTATATTTTACTGTAGCCGTCTTAAGCTGGCAAGTCCGGCTCATATCTTGAGGTCAGTTAAACTTTCCCTCGCTTAAAGTTAAATTGTCTTCTTCCCCTTCCTAGTACGCTCACGTCTAGGGGATCAATGAGGTGCTCGCATTAGAAAGCAGGAGGACAAATTCTTGATAACGCCCT